TTAAGATAAAATTTATCTCGCATACTTATCTCATATTCCGTAAATTATGATTGAAAACTATTTATAAGATATTCCAAACGGACCCATTAGTTTCTCCTCTACCTTCTCTACCTGATTATTGTTGAGAAATAATTAATAGAGTTAATTTAAAAAAAAATTATAAACATGTAAAATAAATCTTATATATAAGACTAACATAATTTAAGATTCTCTATCAAGTACCGGGGTGAGTAAACGTCTCTTGACGGATGTCGTTTCGCAACTTTGTGTCGAGGATCCCTCTTAGAATGTTCTGATTGAAACGACGAGCACATGAGTCTAACTTAACCCTCGCTTATTGAACAACCGTGAGGATGTCTTTCCACTCAGATTTCGACGGGAAATACATGCTAAGATGGTCCATGAATTCTTGGTACACGTCACCATCCATCCCGTTTACAATCCCACACATTTTTAGAGGCCAATAACATCAATCCTGGACACTTTATACAAAAAGTCTTATATTTAGGACTGAGAAGTATATTAGAAACCAGATGAAGTGCGTGTATATATAACCCATAAACGATCAGGCGTGGACTAAAAGTAGAAATTGTCCTAAAATTTTAGGAGTGAAATTTCTAGCCTGAAACTGCAACAGTACGTTACAAACATGAAATGGGAAAGGGAATCAGAAACAGTTACAACGGAGGGAGGAAGATGCCTGCAGGTGGTAGTGACAGGGACACCAAAGAGACTACTGGATTTTCTCTTGCCTTTTCTTTTCAGTCGCAACCTTTGCTCTTTTGATAAGACTGAACATTGATCTCCCGCCTTTCCTATTCTCATTCTTATTCCTTTCTTTTGTTTGTTTGTTTTGCTGAGATTCGACCTTTCATTTCTCATCGATCAATCTTATCTTTGTAAAGCTGGATCCTACTGGTTTGCTCACTGCATCATTCTTTCTTCCATCAAAATACTGCCTCCGGAATTTAATATTAAAAATTAATTTGATTTTAAGTATTTTTTTTTATATTTATTTTTTTAAAATAGTTATTGTAATAATTACGTGCGTTAAATGTTTTACTAGATAATAATTTTAGCTAATGTACATTATTCATAAAGACATTTTAGAAAAATAATACATTTTGTTACAAATAACTAACTTAACTAATTATCTTAATATCTTTAAATTATTTAAATAGGTCTTATATTAAAAGTTAAACATGCAAAAAAAAGAAATACTACCTCCAATCCCTAATACTACCTCCGGTGCTTATTATAAGAGATAAATATAAGATCCTAATTTACTTTGTCTCTCATATTTATTTATTTATTTATTAAGATAATTTTTATATTAGTTGAATATGTTAAATATTAATCAAATATTAAAGTTAATACATTTGATTACAAGGGTATTTTTAAAAAATAACGCTTATTTATTATAAATAACTAACTTAATAAATTTTTTCGTATATTCAAATTAATTAACTAGTTCTATATTAAGAATCAGGTAATATATTATTCAGAAAGTCAGAAACTAATTTTAAAATATGAAGTCTCGTTTAAAATTGGGAATTAAGAAAGTCTTATATATATATATACACATACAGGGAAAACAGGGGGCGGGGACGTGGGTTAATTGGGGTTCACAAATTGAGGGGGCATAATGGAATTTATGTATCTTTCGAATGATATGTCATCATTGGAACGCAGAGCAGAACATTCCCAACACTGCTGGAACTTTTGTCTCCTTTCATTTTCCCCCGTAATTCTGATCTTACCCTATCTAAATTTCCTCTTCTGTCTTGCATGAATAGTATTTTACTCTTCTAGTATTTAAAATAATTATGCCCCCGTTTTTAAGACCACATAGTAGTAATAAATTCGCTGGACAAGATATGACCCAGAAAAAATAGAGGGAGAATGACTTATTTAACTAATTTAATTATATTAAGAAAATTAGATAATTTAGTTAATTACAAAAATATGATATGTTTTTCTTAAAACACTATAATTATCTTTCTCAATATCCTTCCTTTCTCTTACTTGTACTTGATTATGGTTGAAGGAATATCTACAGAGATAATTTAAAAATAAATAAATGTAAAAAAAAATATCTTATATTTCTGATCAGAATTAACTTAATAATTAGATTTTATATTAAAAATCGAAATAGCCATGAGTCAACACTATGTTGTCTTGACGGCGGAGTCACTCACTATGCCTGGATGATATCTCACACTCAAACTCAGCGTTAGACATGTTTGTGCATATATTTAATTATATAAATAAAAAATAATAATAAACACCTAGGTTCAGTAAAATTTGCAACGGGCACGCGCATGTGTCATGATTCATTTGTTTACAAAAACGATTTACATATCATAGAGGGGGCAAATCTATTGTTTGGGTAAATAATAAAAATTCATATACTCCTTAAGTCCTTAATATAAGGCTCATTTAATTAATTTGATTAGATTAAGAAAGTTAGTTAATTATAAAAAAGTGACACATTTTTTCTAAAATACCATAATCATCTTTCTTAATATCCCCTCTCCCTCTTATACTTGATTATGGTTGAGGGAGTATCCATAGGGATAATTTAGAGAAAATTAATAAATATGAGAAATAGGTCTTATATTTATGATCAAAACCAATTCAATAATTGAGTCTTATATTAAATACAGAAGAAATATTTGGATTTCAACCCAAAGCAAGTAAATTCTACTATTATAATTCTCTAGAATTCCGCATATCCATTTTAATTTAATCATTTCTAATCCAAGTAAATCATCCTTGCTATTACGGCTCAAGATCCTATCATTTTACATTGCTAACCAATCAATATATCTCACGCATATGTAGTATTCCTCCGGTTCTTATTATAAGACCCAATTTGACTTTTTATTTGGTTCTAATTATAAGACCCCAATCCATTTTATCTCTTATATTTATACATTTTTTTCCAAGATAATCCTTCTAATAATGATAGTTTTAGCCAATATACTTAATTAGCAAGGATATTTTAGGAATGACAACACTTATTTATTATAAATAACCAACTTAACTTACTTCCTTAATTTTCTCAAATAAGTCATTGGGTCTTATAATTAGGACCGGAGGAGTATTATAAGCGGTTGTTTCGTCTAAAAATTATGAAAATGATAATGTAATACTATCCCCATTCTTAATATAAGAACTAGTTAAATAGTTTGAGTAGATTAAAAAAACTGATTAAGTTAGTTATTTATAATAAATAAGTGTTATTTTTCCTAAAATATCCTTACCAATCAAATGTATTAGTATTGGTTAGAATTATCATTATTACAAAAACTATCTTGAGATAAAATGGATAAATACGAGAGATAAAATAAATTAGAATATTATATTTAAAATCAAAATAAAATCAAGTAAACTTTTATATTAAAGAACAAGATAGTATACACTGTAAGTTGATAATTATTAGAATAATAATCATTTTATTTTTAAATCCGAGAATTAAAGATCACGATGATGTGACAAGGGCGAGTGGGAAGTGGCTTGTGTGATTTTGAAGCGCGGACCAAAGCTAAATGCATGTGTGGTTAGCTTTTAATGTTAGAGAAACAACGTACTCAAGAAAAAAGAAAAGGAAGGAAAAGAAAAGAGGTAAAAAGGAAACCTGCTGAGTAATCAAAGAGGAGAACGAACAACTTCAGTGAAAAGGACAGTGATCAAAAGTGCATAATAACTCGAAGTTAAGAATAACACGATCTTTATTCATTCTCTAATCATAATTAAATATATTAGTTAAAGTAAAGTTCTGGAGGTGAACTCAATACGAATAGCTTAGTGTGCATGCAATCTTAATCATATTGTCCCTAACACTTAATGGGTAAGTAAGATAAATCACCGTTCTTTGCTCTTTTGAATTTTGATCATATCCATGCGAAGATAAATATATAATCCTAATTAGTACTACTGTTATATTTTATAAGGATCAAACTAATTCACAGATTTTGACAGGATAAAAATGACCAGAGTGGACATTGTAATGAACAGTACAATTACACATTTATATAATATTTTAACTTAATGACATAAATATATAAGTATAACAATTGTAGTGAAAATAATGGAAAAATTTGCTTTACAATAACAGAATATGATTATAAACGGTTCAGATCAAATTTTATCATTTTAAATTTATTTATTTATTTTATTTAAAATTATCATAATTTTTATTTCTATAATATATCAAATCTGAATCATTTGATTCAATGATTGTAAAAGGAAAGGGAGGGCAATGGAGGGGAAGAGGATGGATAGGGTAGTAAAGAGGATGCAGGTCTAAATTTTCTTAAAAAATATTACTCATTCGGTTTTAAATATAAGATTTATTTTTTAGCACAAACTGCACTATAAAATAGGTTTTATATTTAGAATTGTATTATAAAATGATTCTTATATTTAAGATCATAGGAATTTTTTTATTACATTTTTACAAATTCCACATAAATGTGAATTAAATATCTTATTTTTCTTGAATCTTATTAGTGTTTTTAAAAAAAAAAATGTTTGGGCTTGTTCAGGAGAAAATAGAAGGTGTTGTTGTTGTTTTTTTTTTTTTTTAAATTCAGGATAACATCATGACAAGAGGGCATATGCTTTGACGGGATGGTGCCGAACCCGTACCAGCCTGTAACATGAAAGCCAATCACTTTCGTCCACGTAGGCTACGTAAGACGCACGTTAGAGATCCTCCCTCTCACACATCGAGCCTAGACATGTGGACCCAAATGTCCTCTCCGCCCTCGACCATCTCTTTTCGCTACTCACCCTTAACGGTTTCTCTCACACGGACAATACTCCATTTCCGTCTCTTAACGTCCCTCCTAACGCCGTTAACCTCCTCCCATATAAATACCTTCCTTCTTCCCTCTTGTTGTCTCTTTTTTCTCCATTCTTAGACTCTTGCTTGCATCAACCCGCCACGGTCGTATTCCGTTTTGTAGCATCTACATTTTCTCGATGAGTCATTCTGCTTCTTTTAGATTTTCTTGGTAGAGTTTGGCTTTTTGGTACGTAGTGGGGAGCTAAGGCTCTCCACTTGAAGCTTCTGTCATTTTTTACTAAGAAGGAATCTCATCAGCGACGTTCGGGGATTTTGATCGTTATCGCACTTGATAGGTCAGTTTAGTGATTTGGTCTTGGAGCGTTCTGCTCTGTAGCGCTAGCTTTTTAACTGTAAAAAAAAAAAAATGCCAAGTTGAATTCACAGACTCAAACCGCCATTTGTTTAGTGTCTTTAGAGCTATTTCCTGCCATTGTAGTTCATAAAAGGTGAGTTTAGCTTTTAAATCTAATTTGTCTTTTCCTTTTGCTTTAATCTTTATTTCTGTGATTTGTTTGCATCATGATTAATTCAAATGCGTTTCAGATCCTAAACGATTTGATTATATTTAAAGTGATTTTGCATTTACTTCGATTGATAATAACGCTTGCGCTTTCTCACTCACTCACTCACTCACCTTAGTTGTTTGTTTTTTACTTTAATGATGATACAGAGCTCCTTTGCTGGCGGCTTTAAGGGATGGTGGCGATGGCAGAAGATGGACGTGTGCTGTAGATGCTGAGGTTGAAGCATCGGAAGAAAAAGCAATCTGAAACCAGAAGACCGAAACATTTACTTAACTCTGCGTGTGGCTTTGCTGAGTCTCAGAGGGACAAAGAACAAGAAGCAGTTGAGGTTTGCTTGGTAAGTCGTTTTCGAATAATAATGGCAGTATTAAATCCCACTTTTCAGTAAAGCAAATATCAGGGTGGAAGTCCTTCCCTCTTCCATATTCTAATATGCATGTTTCTTTGCCGCATCTCACACCGCTTTCATCCTCCGACAAACGTTGATTCCGATCCCAAACGCAGTTTTATTTTTCTGAATCCCAAAAACACAAATAGAGCTAATAATAGCTCTTTGTTTCAAATAAACAACACAGTTTCTCTCTCAAGGTCAGTGGTCGCTTTTGGGCATCTCGGTGACCGAGGATTGATGTGATTTGCACAAAAGATAAAGAAAGAATGAGAGGAGTAGGTTAGTGTATTTTACATTTTTACTGGGATTTTGGGTGAGAGCACAAGGGATGTGTCAGAAACTTATGCTTTGCTTGGGCACCCTTCAGTTTTTATTTTCAATTTAAGTAAATTATTATCACAACACATATAAAGCAAGTCGCTGTACGAATTGCTCCATATCGTGCAAAATTTTAAAATCTGCAACACTGCATAAATTCACGATTGTAGATACAAATGCAAGTTTTCCTCTAAACAAATGCGAATAGCCCCATAGTGTGCTTGGCGGAAGGACCGCGTTGAAGAATCCTTCTCTTGTATTGTTTCTTTCTACTTTTGATTGTTGACACGTTTTCCTTCTTTTGGGTATTGGAGACGGCTTTCGCTCTACTCTGATCCCGAGCTCAATGAAGATTGCTTTTCCTTTTTCTCTTTTGCTAGGACCATTTTGTTTCCCGTGAAGATAATAGATTAGAACTATACTTTCTTTCTAGTTGCATTCTAACTTCTTGTATCTGTGTCATAACTTATCTTTATTTCGCTGCTTTCTTTACCAGCCTAACTATTGCTATTACTTACCGCAAATAGGCATTACCAGTCACTGTTTTATTCAATGAAAGTGACTGCCTCCACCTATCAATTTTGTCCTGAATGAATAGGATGTACAAATTGTTCTATAGCCCATTCAAGGCTAATGCTACGGCACTGCAAACTGCCACCTCCGCAATTTTTAAACAGAGAATATAGTAATTCTCTAGACCCTTATAATGAACCATAAATGCTTGTTTTTGTGCAGGAAGAAGAAAAAAGGTTGTAAAAGTAAAGATGTTTACATGCATAGCGTGTACAAAGCAATTGGCGGAGGAGAGGGAAGTTGAAGGAGGAGCTCGTGAGAGTGGCACGCCGAGTACAAAAGAAGCCGTCAAAAGCCTGACGACGCAGGTTCTTAATCCCACCTTCTCTTTTTTGCCCCTTCGGCTACAATCTTTGCTTTTGCAGCTTCTTTTTCCTTCTCGGTGAAAACAAACAAAACCATAACCCCATTAGGGTTCTGATATGGTGGGGACCATCCTTGAATCTTTTTCGTCCACGTATGACCTATTTACGGCCTAAATTAATCTACCACACGGATCGACCCGAATTTAGGCAAACATTGTTTTTGTTTTGGAGGAATGACGCAATTCTATTTTGGTCCCATTTGCTGCTCTTGACGGATGGTCCACTCCTATCTATATGTCTATATATTGGTTTATTTATGATCGTGTGGTACCAAAGTGCTGTGACCTGACGTGACCATCATGAACTAATCAGCCCCGTCTAGTGGCTTATTCTTTGTCAAGTGGAAACCACTAAGCCATTTACAACTGGACCTTGGAGGAGCAAATTACTCCGAATCAGATTTAAGACATTGGGTAGAATCTGAAGATGTGGTTGGATTTAAGATTATTATAATTATAATTATAATGTCCGGTATCTTTTACTGCCAAACTTGCCTAACTTTAACAACTGTCAAATCTATTAACAATTACTTTACTACTAGCATGTACATATAATAATATCCTGAACACATCTTTTCCTTTCCTTTCTTTCTCATAAATGCATTTGAATAGCATTTCTTGGTCAAATCTTCTTAAATGCAATAGAAGAACAAAAGTGACAAAATGTTCCATATTCAGCAGCTGGGTTAATGTTGAGAAATGATGCCTGGCTCAGAAGGGCCTGCCATAGTCATATCCCCTGTGGCGTCCTTGAATTCTTGTCGACTGATCGTTTTCAAAAGTTTGCCATTACTATATGTTAATGAAAAAGAGAGAAATCTATATCAGTGGTATGCTTAGATTGTTTTGCGCCAAAAATGTTTTCGACATTATTTCTTTAAACGAATTTTGACATTATTTTAGTGCACTATATTTAGACCACTAAACGTCAGTATCTCTTTCACTTCTGACATTTGCATATTAGTTAACTTAATTTTATGTGCAACTATAAGCCGGACAGGCTAATAGCGATATCAGCCACGGACTTTGAAATATCAAAGTCGAGGCTGTATGGAGGAACTTCTTAATGCTTATCCCAACTATAAGAAATCAAAGGTCTCTGAAATACATAGAAATATTGACTATGGCAGGCCATTCATTGGACTGCTTAGTTAATATCAGCGAATTTATGAGATTCTTATAATAGACTTGACATTCAGGGATGTTGTCATCCACTCCTATCCTCCGGCTGAGAACATCCTCTAGCAGTCCAGCTGTAAAGGTGTTGCGTGATGCTTTGAAAATGACCTAAGCTTGAAATCTTGGACTCCCTCCGGTTTCCTCCAGATTTACTTTTTAATACATTTTTAAGAAATCCCACATTTGATTTCCCCACTCCGCATTGTGTGCCATTTAACACACTTCTCCGCTGTTATGTCCTGTTGTCATTCGAGGAGGACACCTCTGATCAATTATTTAGCTTATTTCATTCTCAGTTTTCCCTTTTTCTTGAACTATCCTTGTTTCCGTCCGATTCAAATCAACAAGGTTGTTCTGGCAGGGAGAGTTTAGTTGCATGATTTGTTTAATTTTAGTTTAGTGGCGAGTACAAGAACTATTCACTACGCCTTTTTCGGTCACTGCATGTGCTCAGTCAATGTTTTGAGAGCCTTTTTCTTTTCTTTTCTTTCTTTCTTTTTTTAAATTACATAGGGGCAAGTTAAAGCTTGAAGCAATTAGCGGGATAAAACTCGTAACTTCTCATCAACAAAGGTGAGTTTCGTGTCACTAGATCATAAAGCCATTTGCTGTTTTGGAAGCCTTCAACATCTTAGTAGGATATAGGAAAAGATTCTTAAATAGTCTCCACTCCCAATCTACTTAGACACAGAACTTATATGGCTATCCTGTACCCACATAAGAATGAAATGCTCTCAGTTGAGGTTAGTTGAACTTAAAAGTGGGCATGTAAAGGTTTTAGGCCAAATGAACCTAAAGTACATATGATTCTGGTTGCTTGAGACTAGCTCAAGTCATAAGAACAGCGAATAGGGGTCCTCTGTTCAGACCCTTTCGGTTCAATGTGGGAAAAAACGTCTGGGCTTTGAAAACAAATATCTATATTCGTAATATCGTTTCGTGTTTCTCCTATCTCACGTATAAACTAAGAGAATTTTTCTGATAAGATATTGCTTTTATAATGCCTTAGCAGAGAGTGAGTTTCACCCACTTTTGCTGAATGGTCAAAACAATATTTTCTGTTAATTTCTAGTATGATTAGAGCTTCTAAATTGATAGCTATGGTTCGATCATGTCTGTGCAGATAAAGGATATGGCCGTGAAGTTTTCAGGTGCCTATAAGCAATGCAAACCGTGCTCAGGATCCAGTAGTTATAAGAAAGGGCAGAGACCCTATCCAGATTTTGATACCATCTCTGAAGGAGTTCCATACCCCTATATAGGAGGGGCAAGCTCAAGTTCAACTCCAGCATGGGATTTTATCGGCTCCCATTACCCGGCTGGTATATCAGACCAGAGATTTGTTGGGCCATTTTGTGGTGACCGAACTCCAAGAGGACGCGAATCGGCATCAGTCTGTGATGTAGTTTTGGAAAAAGAGGATGGGCCCAAGGAGTGGATGGCACAGGTGGAGCCAGGGGTTCACATTACATTTGTGTCTCTTCCTAATGGGGGAAATGATCTCAAAAGAATTCGCTTCAGGTATAACTATAAACAATTTATGTAACGTCGCCCTTAGTTTTCACTCAGTGACTTGCAAATCAAGCCATCAAAATTATGATGTTATAAAGATGTCCAGCAGCAGACCTCCCCGTGCATTAACGTTTATTTTTGCAGTTAATGTGAAGATTGTTTGGTTAGGATTTTTACTCTCTGGATCATTACACTACGTCATTTGTAATGTGTTCAGTTTCTTGGTAGGATCTAGAGAATAACTAGAAATATATCCTATCTTCCAGCTCTCTACTTTTGAAGAATGTGTACGAATGAGGCAACCTTTTTCAAAATGTAGCAGAATTTAGTTATTGAAGTTGTCAGGATGATGTTGAAGCAAAGGCTGACAATAATGAGCATTTGAATTTGCAGCAGAGAGATGTTTGATAAATGGCAAGCTCAAAGATGGTGGGGTGAGAATTACGATAGAATCATGGAGCTCTATAATGTTCAGAGATTCAATCGACAAATCAACACTCCTACAAGATCTGAAGATGAGGTAAACTAAAACGTTCCACTAAGCGTTATGTTTCAAGACTCCACTCTTGGATTAATTGTCCTCCGTCCGCCTCGCGAGGACTACCCTTAAATTCTCTTTGCATCAAAATTGTTGCCAGGGCTAAATGGGGGGAAAAAAGAAAGGAAAAAAAAAAAACTACCCTCTGGCATCGTTTTTTGACCAAAATATGATGTCGGATAACAGACTGGTTATCTCAGATATTTCTATTAACATGGTCCTGTTTAAATTTAAACAGCAAAGAGATTCTTCTTACTCGAGACTGGGATCTGCAAGAGACAGCCCCATGGGCTCATCATTAAACAAAGAATGGACGCCAAGAAACTATCCTAAAACCTCAGGAAACAGAGGGTACTACCCATCTGAACTTTCGGAGCAGGGAGGAGGACCCCATTTCCACGGAGGGTCTTCGTTCGAAGCATCACGCACAACAACCTCTTCAAGAGATGAACCTTCTGTTAGCAATGGCAGTGACATGGAGGCGGAATGGGTAGAGCAAGATGAGCCTGGAGTTTACATTACAATCAGACAGTTACCGGACGGCACAAGGGAGCTTCGACGTGTCAGATTCAGGTAATTCATGCATGCCTTATCTGAAATGAGCTCGTAGAGATTGTGAATATGTCGTTAAAATTTTACACTTGAAAGCAGGCAGGAATTTTTCATTGTTGACGATTGATTTATGAGTTGTTAACACTTATTATTATCAATTCGTGTGAAGCCGCGAAAGATTCGGTGAGGTACATGCCAAGAATTGGTGGGAGGAGAACAGAGAGAGAATACAAGCTCAATACCTGTGAAAGCCTACAAAAAAGGTGGGATCCTCAATTTTGTTTTTCCGATTTCCAGACTGTAACGATGATGATGATACGACTCCAGACAGTACTGGAGCGAGAATTGAGTTTCCGCCGTTTTGACCATGTCTCCAATATGATGGTTCCGTCAGGCCTCCGTCTGTCTCTATTTTCCCTACTATGATTGTTTTATCAGATAGAGTGGCTCTTGCATTAATTATTGCCATCTGATCATAAGTTTCCCCTCAGACTGTTAGCTGTACATAATTGATCACATCCATAACTTGACCTCTTTCCATCCCAGAGTCTTAATGGCCGAAGTTCAAGTTCATCCCCACCAAAAACGGTGTGATATTAAATTAAAGTAACTACTAATAAACTGTGATCTAATCCTCGATGAAAGATTTTCCCCCCATTGTGAGCCCTTGCCAGGGAACGCACGACACCTTGTTTTTCTGCATTCCGACTCTTAAGTATAAATCCCTCTAAAGAATTTTTTATTATAGAATCAAAAATATCCTGTAATTTTTAATCTTCTCTCACTCGTTTTTATCGTTCGTTTGTCAAAAATATCCTATAATTTTTCTCATTGAAAGATGGATCCTTTTCTTTTCAAAAAAAGTGATGCTTTACACAATAACAAAGAGCGAATTCACTTATATGCCGCGTATCTCGGACTGCAGTCATTCGGTAGTTATTTACACCATTAAAAAAAAAAAAAACTAGAGGTTTCTGCTTGCTTTTCACCCTCTTCAAACGACCCTTATGACCAAGGTTTTGAAAACCAAATTGATTATTAAACCACGATAATGGTTCAAAAATTAATGGTGGGATGAGTTCGAATACATTTTTTCCCCTTATAGCCATATATGTAGTAATAATTAATTAACTAATATATAAAAATTAGAAAGTAAGGTGAGATCTATTCTCTTCAATTTAGCAAAAATGATTTTACTGGTTTTCCAAAAATTTTTTTGAAGAGTAATAAATATTTTATAATTTTTAAAAAACAACAGCTCTATAATTACACCTCTAAATACTAGAGCAGACGCTACGCCGATTCCCAGTATTACCAATCGAACTGAGTCGTTTGTTTTTCTCATAACGACGCTGAATCAATGCAACATATATTTCAAAACCTTGAAATTATAATTAAAACCGAAGATACTCGATAATTCTGAAAAAGGACACTTGTATGTGGAAATGAAGAATACAAAGAGGCGGTCATATCACCATGCAATCAAACGGACCAGAATGAAGAAGCTTTATTGGGGAAATACCAAGAGGTTAAAAAAGTAAAAGCAGAGTCGAAGCTCGGGGGAATATATATATCCCAACACACATATCAGAAGGGCATGGCTATAGCATGTAGGTGATACTCACAGAACGCACTCGTCAGCATGCGTATGTTTGATCAATCTCAACTCGTTTACCAGCCGGCAACTTTTCTTGAGTAAGCTCTAGCAGCTGGAATCTCTTGGGCAGGCCTCAGCAGAAAGTTTCGAGACTCAGTAATCCAATGCCCTCCGGCTTTCATTGGAGGTGCGCCCATTGATTGTCTTCGAGCACTAACTGCCATATTAGCCAACTTATCAGCTGTTTCTGAAACCCCACGTACAGTACTAGTCCTTCCTTTGTTCATAGCACCTGTCAGCCAACATTTCTTTCTCAGTTATCAATTACAGGGAACCGCTTCATAGCTTTGATAGTTATCAATTACTGAAGCAACTTGTGAGCATATTTCTTAATTATAAAACTGAATATCCACAAATCTTAACGCTGGGCCGCCACTTTATGTATTTTGAAATAACAAGGTTAAATGTTAGCAAGCTTACTTGGGCTGTCCTTTCCTGGTGGTCGATATTTTGGTTGTTTGGCAGTCTTCACGGACTTGTCGGTCTTATTTCCATCCTACAAGAGAATCGTAGAAAAATTATCAGCATTACTAGGAGAATGTGAGATAATTTTGTTGTCGCTAGATTAAAGATACCTCAACACAGTCAAAAAAGAAACGGGTGAACAGGAAAATTTTCAGCAAAGGTAGACGTGGCAGAAGTGCACATGTGGAAGTAATGGATTTCGCATAGCAGAATCATTTACTGGTCGATAAAGAAATCAGAAAAAACAACTGACCTCATTTGCCATATCCAGCTTCCGATGTACACCTGTAACAACATTCAGAACATGAGAACCTTGTAGACAATGCATACAGCCATGCACATCAAGAACACAAGGGACCCACTCAACATAGCCTAACACTGTTTGATTCAACAGAGGGGAGGGGAGGGGAGGGGAAGGATTTTAATTGGGGACGTGAGGGGAGTGGAGGGAAAACAGATTTTAATGATCATTCCAAATCCCTTTCAATTCGAAGGAGATTTCCATTCAATTTTAGCCAGACAAAGGGAGGGTCCTTTATTACCAGGGAAAAAAGAAGAAGCAAAATACGGGAGCAGAGCAAACTCTGTCCCCTTCCTTCCAACCAAATGGACCGTAAGTTTGCAGTAATCGATGAGAGAATGGTAATGCGAAAGAAAGAAGGCGTTTTAAAACACCATACAAACAATATATGTCTAAATTACATTAAATAGGTAGCTCAAAGCCCCAACCCTTCCTCATAGACACTACTACTGATCAGCATGACTTTCTTTCTTGAGTAAGGTTTGTGATCTAAGCAAAATACAAGCATCTTAGCTAAAACAAAACAGAGCAGAGCACCTGTAGCTAATGAAGGGTGCAACTTTGGGGAGGAATGGTTATTGGTGAGCTTTGAATTAGACAAAGTGCAAGAATATCTCTTAACCCCTTGCCTATCCAATGATCCCCTCGTTCCAGCTGCAACAGAAGAAATAATTAGTACGCCCAGAATTACACCATTATAATTCTTGACTGAGCCAAAATAAAAACAAACCAGATGGAGGCGTCCTAGCTCCTGCTTTGATGCGAAGGGATGGAGGAATGTAAAAGCAACTCTACAAACAAAAATCTAGGAATTAAACAAACTTACAAAAAGCAGCTGCAGAACATATTTCCATTGATATGAGTAGACATTATGAATATAAAGGCCATCTAGAAAAAATAGTTCATAAACAACCTGAAAGAAAGGATGTTGGAGGGCCTCTGCAGCTGTTGGCCTCTTGCAAGGATCCCATGAACAGAGTGACTACATGGGTAGCAAACGCAGGGAAAGTAAGTGCAATCTATTAGCAGGGAATGTAAAGGGACAAGACTGAAACAACATTCGGATAAAGCTACTTACTGTAATAAGGCTGATTGCATCGGCACTAACAGATGGGATCAGGTTAGAAAGATGTACGCCAGGAAGCTGAAATTTTCAATTTTCGCTATTTAGTATGAGTCGCTCCATATCCAAAGATATAAAATAGCAGTAGAAAATAACAAAAAAGGAAAAAAAAATCAATTCCAAAGTTTAGACAAGTTGTACTAAACATAATTTAAAATACAACACTGAGAGCCAAGTTCCCAACTGCCCAGCCCAAACCAGAGGAAGCTAACCTGTGGGAACTGATAGTTAATATCCCTTGCCAGTTTAAGTCCATCAGCCCAGGATTCAATGGTCGGACTGCCTATCACACCACAAATTTTGTAAATCTCATCTGCTTCGCTGCGCACAGAGTCAGGGAAAGAAAATGTTCATTTCTGAGACCCATTCACGAAACAATTGCTTCAAATGTATATATAACATGGAACATGTAGAAGGGTTATGAGTGAATATGCAACCGCCAATAAATAAAAGGAAAAAAAAAAATCCAATTAATTTAGAAAAATAAATATTGACAAAAATTTTGCATCCAGTCCCAAGCGCCAAGTGGCATGCTCCATCTAGTTTTCAGTATATGTCATTTTTAATTACCTCACACATATTAAAAAAAAAAAAGACATTAAAGTTGGTTACAACCTTAAATTTGTCAGAACATTCCAATAGTTTCCAACATTGTCCTTATTAAATACATTAAATTCAAAGGAAGTAACTCATTTCCAACGATAAGTTATGCTTCCCAACACTTCATCTCCTCATGAAATAAAACAAACAAGCACATTATTTTTAATTGCAGAGCAAACTAAAGGCATATGCGGAAGGAAAATAATTAATGCTCCGACATCTTAGGACCAAAAAATCCTTCAAGAAGGCCACTAATATTTAGGGCCAGAATAGTATTTGCTAGTTCTCTATTCAAGATACTATGATTCTTTCTTGGTCAACAAGGATAGAGTTTATAACTCTTAAACTGGTAAGTTAGGGAGTAAGGAAGCAGAAAGAAGATACATACTTGACACCTGGAAAAAGAGGACGGAGTGTGAACAGTTCAGCCATTATAGCACCCATTGCCCACATGTCTACAATCAGAAAATGTAAATAAATAATATAGTTTTGCACAAGTCACGTAGCATCACCATCAGTAACAGATTAGTCAACTACACAAATGATATTCCACGATAAATCACTCACCAACTTTTGAGCTATACAAGTAAGACTGAAGCAGCACTTCAGGTGCACGATACCTAATCAAACATCGTCATACAAATTATCATATGCCTAATACAGGTAATGACCAAGATGTATTAATTATAAATTGAAGACACCTACCACCGTGTGGAGACATATTCAGTGTAGGGTGGTTGGGAACTGATCTCACGGGCAAGACCAAAATCAGCAATCTTTATGATATCCTTGGAGACCAGCAAATTTTCTGCAAGTAATAATGTACTCCATGTCAAAACAAAAGTTTATAGTAAAATCATGGTCTATATAAGTGCAAAAGAGCAGGAATCTCATCAACCCATGCCCTACAAGGCATATTCAACAATTAATTAATTTGCTTGCTGATCAAGCACAGTAAGTTTTTCCATTGAGTACTAGTGATAACTAATTACCAGGCTTCAGGTCCCGATGGAAGTACCCACGCTGGTGCATGTATGCAAGACCCTGGAAAACTTGAAAACACCAATTTCTAACTTCACTTTCAGAAAACATCTTTTCCCTGTCTTTCATGAGTTGGTACAGATTGCATTCCTACATCACCCCAAATACCATAGGTCATTTATTATTATCATCCTTGCATCAACTTGACATAATGCCACATGAAATTGCAACCCACCATGTACTCAAAAACAAAGTACAGAACATCATTTTCTCGAATAACTTCCTTTAGCTTGACAATATTTGGATGATTCATTTTCCGTAGTGACTGCCAAAAGAGGAATTTATAATGTTACATATAGATGAATAAAACATTATATTGCAAATGAAACTTGAGGATCAGCATTCATACTTTGACTTCTCTCAGGTTTACACACTCCTCCCAAGAGTAATACTTCTTCTTCATTTTCTTGATAGCAACCTGCATTTTGCATCAGAAGACAGAAGGAACCAAAGACACAATCATGATTTGCATATGCATTGGGAAATGTACTTCCATCAAGCAAGGTAAATCAATTGACCCAAAAAAAAAAAAAAAACAAGAAGGTAAGCCACACTCACAACTTCACCAGTTTGCTTATTAAGAGCTCTCCAAACACTCCCAAATGTTCCATCGCCGACTTCCTTGATTAACTTGTACCTGTGTTCAATAAGCAAGACTTTAGAAAAGGAATCTTGATTCAAGAACATATATGGGGAAATACACAATTTATCCAACAAATATTCACCTCTCCATTGTTCTTGTGGAACACAAAGTAGCTCTTTGTTTATTCAACGAAGGTAAATAGACACACAAAGATAGGTTGCTTTTATCTCTCTTGCAGATGACACTCACAAAAGGACAATAGAATGCTAATATATGTCCGCTGGTCCAGCAAAATCCACCATCAATTTTCTGTCATGACATAAGATGGCACAAAAACAGAAACGTTGTGATGGATGAGCAGCACAGCCTTATTGATTGATACATCCACGGCCTTGTAATGGTAGAAGGAGGTGGTAGTAAAGAACAAGAACGAGAGAGCATACTGATGCTCGCAAGGTCAAACAATGATTGTTATAAAAACCACATCATTAGGCTCCAGCTAAAGTTTCCGATGCACAAGACTTCAAGACTCTAAAGATAGCTACTTCTAAATTACACAGAAAGTGTTTCAGAACCTTCAGGTAGCTGATGTTTTGTCACTACCATTACCCATGTAAGAAGCAACAAAACAATTACTAATAACTATAATATGCACTGATTCAATGCAATCACTTGTCCAATGCTCAAGATCCAGATAGCATCTGATATTCAGTCACAACTATACGTGCTTCAGCCCTATAAAAAAATGGGGAGAAAAGTAAAAAGAAATTAGAATTCAAATTTGATTAAAAAAGGTTGATCAGAGAAGGATTTAAAAGTTAAGCCCAGAAGACAATGGTTTAAAAGTTCTCTTACCCCAGAAGACAACTTACTCGATGTTTCTGGTTGATGTTCAGTCAGCAATGCACTGTCCAAAGAACTATTGTTAAAAAATAACGATCACAATGGTTTAAACCAAACACAAAAGCAGAGTAAATGCTTACTTGCACAAGTGCATAAAAGATGCAGCACCAGTCTCAGAAGAAGCTAACATTACGTACCATGTGCTGATCATTAAAAAGGAGCAGAACACTAGGTGCAATTAACAAAGGAAACGAGAAGAAAATCTCCAAGGATGAAGAACCGCCAATCAAGCACTTTTTGGAATGAGAACAACCGATACTGGTAGCATATTGGCCTGAAACAATCTCCCTCCATATCTCAAAAATAAAAACAAGAAAATTTAGATTTGAAGCCAGTGCACCCTGCAATTGAGCAAAAATAGCAAAGCTCAGAATAGAATAATAATAAATAATATTAAAAGCTGTATAACTGCACAAGTCCAATTTCTCTGCTAAACAACATACAATTAAATAAACAAAGATCCTAATAAAAATCTGACATGAAAGGACGTGACGTAAATCCAAATGCAAGCAAGACAGTGACTCATCAGAGCACGCACCATTTAAACACAAGTAAGATTCAAAATTTACCACAAAACTTAAACTTTATGGAGGTTATTCAACAACAACTAGCAGCCTATCAACTCAATATCTAAGAGACCTCGAAGGTACAACAAGCTCAAACTAAAATATCTTGTCAATTAATATTTCGAGGTGTCAATTCCCGAGATACCAAAGAAAGGGTCCTCCAAGACAAATATATGATCGGCATCTAAGCCATTTACAAGGCTTCACAAATAACCACTTATCCTTGACTTAGATGCACACAGAAAAAGAACCAATGAATCAGCCACAACTCAGAGCATTAGTTTGAAGTCAAATTTCATAAGGAGACTGATCAAAACTGGACCTCAGGGTATAATCAATGATAATCCAAGAGGCGATAGTTACCAGGGAAGCCGAATGTGTCAGGAACCTGGTAATATTGTCGATTACACAGCATGTGAGAAGTTATCGGTCCGTCAAATTAGAAAACGAGAGAATATTGGAATCTGGCTGATTATTATCCAGGAGACAATTAATCGAATTGCATGGAAAAAATGCACTTTCAGCGGAGAAGGAGCATAATTAAAAGTATTCCAAGTAAATCGGTAAGAAACTATCTCACCGCCATCCACTGACTACATCAAACATTTAACGAAAAGAAAAATGGATAACCAAAAGCGGTAGACAACCCTTCACATAGGAAGAAACTAGGCTCAGCTAAAATTGCAATATAATCGGACACAAGAAGAGAAGCCCTAGCAAATCCACAGAATTGGAAGCAAAAACTCAAACACAGGCATTACATGTCACAAAAACAAATTAAACCTCGACGAAGCCCTAGACGAACCAAATCAATTGCTAAATCCTCAAGAGTCAAGCGGTCTGCGATATAATTATTGAATCCACAAGACGTACCAAGCCTTCGCGTTCGATTACAGATTAAACGAAAAAGGAAAATTACACAAATTCAAACTGATTACAACAACGAATCCAACGAATCCAAAACGGATCGGATCGGATCTGTAAGGAGGACACAATGAGATCACATGGAGAGACATAAGAATACGAAGAATGAAAATGCGACGGAGAAGAAAAAGAGAAAGGACCTTAACAGCAAGCGGCATAACCACCGTCTCCGAGGACGGGAAAAGGCGGAATCCAGAGCTTCCTCTCTCCGGGAGCAATCAAACTGCCTTTCTTCCTGCTCCCTATATTCTCTCTCCCCCTCTCTTTCTCTCTCTTCCAGCTCTCGTTGATCTTTATTCCCTCGTGCGGACCAAGAAATAGCAAATAGGAAAGCCCTTGTTTGCGAGCGACACTTAATTTACGGTTTTACCATCACCGCGTGTTGCGTTCTCGTCCCGCTTTTATAGCCACATCCCCTCTTCTATACGCGTTGCAAACTTGCGACCTCGTCATCGTCCGATCTAACGGTGGACCGACCCCATCTGGATAATTTGACATTTTGACTTCGGTTAAACTAAGATAGTTATCTTTTTTGCCTTTTACAATTGTACATAATAGTAATATTCTGTGAATCAATATATTACGGCCAAAAAGTTCTATATATAAATTGAGACATCGCAATATTTGATATTTCTCCCCGGATTATTAATATTTCCCTCGTAATTAATTTGTTCAAGTGTCTGTATTGCTTTTGCCTTTTGTGTGTTTGGGCGTGAAGTATAAAGACAATATATACGATTTTTTCCCCAAAGAAAAAATCTTCTTATAATAACCCATTCTAAAATAAACCCACCATTTTACGGAACATTGAAAAACGTCATTCATTGGGCTATATCAATATGTAATGATGAAAAAGCTATCATGATGTTTTGCCGACTTCGTATCATTAATGTTATTATGGCTTTTCATTTTGAATATAATGGAATGACACGACACCTTTAAAACATAATTCAGATTTGATGAGAGGCGCCCCTTAAAATTTTAAACACCATAATTTTGCGGTGTTAAAAAAGAATGGATCATTAAATGTGTCAGATGGCCAATGCTGATAAGCGCGTTGGGCTGGCTGGATAAAGTTAGGTGGGTGTGGCTTTGGTTAGGTTGAGAGGTGGTAATGCACACTCTGGATTTTGGATATTATGATAATGACATTTAATAATTTAGTTTCTGTGCATTTCCCACAGATTGGAAAGGGATTCGTTCTTGCCAGAGAGGCAGTGAGTAGGAAAAAGGCCGTTAGGTGTAATAAGTTGAGACAGAGAGATTCAGAGGTCGTGGCGGACAATTTAAGCAAATAGAATGGTAGACCCATATGCTTTCGCTTTCACTCTACGATTTCGGCTTCAAAACAAGAGTTAATTAAGATTGCAAACAAGCAAGTGGTTGCAGCAATACATAGAGTAGTAACCATTAGGTGAGCTCTCAGAAAGTAGAAGTGTAGAACCGCGTCATATCCCCCTCCTGGCCTATGTGTTCGAGGGCTTCCCCACAGTTTTAGCGGTCCCTTCCCCTGTGAGGTTGTCTTCGGATATGTAACATTGTTCCCCTATCAAGAATTCGTTATCAGACGTATTAGATATGAGTTTTCTATAATTTAATTATAATAACTATCAGTCCACAGGGGATCCCCACAAATGCACAGGCATTATTTTATTTATTCACAAAATTTATGTTTTTGCGATGTAGTCAAAACCGCGTGCATGTGTTTACTTGAAAGTTGAAGGGTTCTAAACACAACTTTGTAGGATTAACTTTTTTGAAGCGACTTTGCTTTTAAAAAAATATTTCAGAGTACTAAATAAAATCACAAAATATTTTAAAATGTTAGACACACTTAGAAAAATAATTCACAATGCTGAATAAACTACAAAAATTTTTATAGTACACTGAGCACAATTTTTTCAGGTGCTAAATCAACCTTAGCCCGAAATTAGAATAATTCAACTTCAATCACATTTATAAAAATCAACCGTAATATGTTGCGGCGCTTTTAACCAAACTAGTTACAAGCTCAAAAATGGGTTCGAATAGTTTTATTGATAGACCGGAACATTGGAAGCCGAACAATACAATAATAACAGAGATGGTAAGTTAATTATTGGCCGCCTCTTTTGCTTAAAAAGGGGGCCTTAGCCAGGGGATGACTTGCCCGTCTACCATATATATACTGGGAACACCTGTAAGTTGTGGTGTGGTGTGCAGAAATTACATAGTTGCATTGCTCATATATCAATCATGGTGCAACTCAAGTGGAAACCTTGCCAGGCTAGGGCCTTCGCAGCTTTGGGGATGGTCATTCTGACACCAGGGTTCGACCGATGACCGAGAGTCTGAATCCTCTACATCGTATGTAAAGAGTTCATTTAGAGAGAGAAAATAACAGATGAGTGCAACTATGAGATGTGGATCCCATACAAAGTCATATTTACTTGAGTCACATTCTCCCTCTGAATGCATGAATGCATGAATGGAGATAATCCAATGTCAATGATTAGTAGGGAGATATTCAAAATAAGAATGAAAGACAAACCACGTTGCTCACCCTTGGACTGTAGCAGTTCATGAAGCAAAGCTTTCAGCATTCAACGACTCTTTATCAGCTTCACAGAATGAGCTCACCGTTTGAAGAGGATTCACAACTTCCAAAGCTGCATTTCCCTGATAATATCCAGAGCTTTGCCTTTTACACAGGAGCCACGTACCTTGGCAGTAATCTTCAAACAGAAGCATCTGTGCTGCTATCAAAAAGCCAAAGAACATGCAGATTCAAGAACCAACGCGTGCTTTCCATTAAATGGGTGGAGTTTTCTCCATATGCAGATGCCAAATGTCATTGTAACTAATATTTCCATCCAGCAGCTTCCGGTCCAACATCCGTTCTGCAGACTCATTGAAGTAGGCTTTGACCTCACTTGGCAAAAAGCCATGTTATCCACTTTGACAAGCAATGTAAATGAAGGTGGTCAGGTAAATCTACCTAGATAGAGAAATCATCAAACAATCAGTACAGCAGATAATATCTCAAATGTTTTGGATTTCTTTACCAAAAACTAAAAAATTTCAAACACATCATTTAGAAGACCTGAATCCTCAATACTACCTAGATTCTTAATTTTCGACTTAAACTACTAACAACTTAGAATCCATATTCAATTTACAGGATAAAAATTGGAGCACGATTATAGCTGATCGTGATCCAAAATAATTAATATCAAACAAAATAAACAGATTAGTCTATAATTAACAGGAAGTCAACCCAGCTATTCAGCATATTTAACTCTCTTTTCAAAACCAGGTTCTCAAGGCTTTGTCCGGTTTTCCCACTTTTCACTGGTTGCTGAACAATTATACAGGGTTTTGACCTCTTTCTCAGCCAGTTCCCCGATATTCTAGATTGGACCAGAAACCAAGTCACCAATTTTCAAACCGACCGGTCTAGTCTAGTTTGAGAAAGTCGGTTTCAACAATATATCAAAACATCAAATGCCACCCTACAGTTTCACTCAAGTGCTTAAGTGCTAGTTAGAAGCTTAATAGATTTTATTCAAAAGATAAAGGGATCAACTAACATTAGTCCATGTTGCAAGATACCCATCAGTTGAAAGCAACCATCTCCCAGAATTTGATAGCAAATCCAACTTCTCACTTGTAGAATCAAAATTCAGCAGTCCATCACCATAATCATCATCAAGATCACGGTTCCTCCTCCTCTTCTTCCGAGCCTTCTGTTTCTTCCTACTTTTATCTACTATTGAAGCAGTACAATCATTACTGTAAAGATGTTCATCTGATGATCCATCATCACCTAGCAACGCATATTTGTTGGAGCTGCGGAAACCAATATGATTATTCAGAAAGACAGACTCCCATGACTCGGGAGTATGGCATTCATGCGACATTCTACAATAAAGAACCCAACACTGAAGTCCCAGACACTTTATCACTTCTGAAGTTGACATCTTGCAAGCATTCTTAAAGAATGGAATTAAGCTATTGGAGTTGCTTGGTATTGCAGATATCCTTGAGACAATTTCTTTGATTCTTTCCTGTGAATTTTGGGCATCTTCATCACGCAGAAGACGAAGAATCTGCCTTCCCTGGGTAATGATAGCATTTAACAGTAGCATCTGGTCAATAGATCCAGGAATTTCGCACTTTACAAGTACGATCTCAAACAAATTAGATAGGCCATTGACATGTTTAGATTCCATTACTGGGTAAAGAAACCTACGAAGCAGTTTCAAAAAGTTGAATAAATCCTGCTCTTCAAGAGCTATAAGAAGGCGGTGACACAAAGAAGAAAATGGCTGCTCCGTGAGGAATTCATCTATAACTTCCCATATGTCTCTTGCGTCATCTTTATACATTAAATCTATAAAATATTGCACAAAGAATTGCCTGTCAATGAAAAAAATATCACCGTCTTTCACTGACTCAGCAAACTCATTGGAAGACCAAAATTCAGGAACATTCTCCAGAAAATTTTCTACAGTTTGCTGGATGTCTAAATCAAGAAAATAATGAGGCTTTGTAGCAACTACTGCTGGTGATTGCCCATGTTTTCCCTTCCACTCTAACTCTTCCCAACAAATATCCCTATTTTTGAATGCAAATTGGGCCAACGCCTTTGCACCTTTTCCCAGCTCTAGTCCACTGCCAGAGGAATAATTAACAAACCACTGCAAGACACGCTTTGGATTACCTGCATTTCTCAAAATCTTGCACAATCAGGACACACAATTACACGCACAAACAAACAATCAAATGGAAGATAGCCCCTGCAGTTTCATAATCAAACTAGTCCAGCCATTAACAAAATGCATAAATGAAACTCACCTTCAAAAAAATTTTCGAGTACGTGACTTCTCTTTGCTAAAATGGATCCCCCCATCTGTGGTTTCTTCTCAAACATCATATGCAAAAGTTGAGAAGCTAAACCCTGCTTCTGTGATCTAAGTAAATCCATAAATAACTCGCACTGATGGTGACAAGTGATGGAAGTCATTCCTGCAATGGTGTTACAAAGCCATAGTCGAGCTTCTGATCGACTTCCTGACATGATCAACGACCATATAGTAGATTCCAACTCTTTCAAGAGGGATATTCTCAGTTTCATTGAGTCACCGCTATCCACATCTTCATCCCAGCAGGGCTCCGTCAAAAACAAATCAATCATCTTGCGGCTAGAGGAAGATAGTATTCTTCCTGCAAGAAACCAGGTCCGTTGTGCATACACATGAGTTTGAAAAAATAACACTACAGAGTCGAGAAAACAAGATTATCCAGAGAAAGCAATAGGAACACTGGCCCTAGTGATTTCAAATACACCAGAGAATATTTGCAATCACAAAATAGCACCCAAATTAATAATTTTCTTCTACTATCCAGTCGGTTGGGTTGATAAAATGGGAGAAGACTTCCATCAAAACGGGAAAAGAAAAAGAAATACATAGAAAATGGCACAATGGCGCAGCATAGGAGAATTTCGAAGATTCAGCGTGGAGTCGGGGGGAAAGAACTATTGAAAGACAAGCCATCAATTGAGATTATACTCCGGAGGAATTTCGGATACTCTATTTACCGATTATGGCTCGATGGAAATGAAGTGCAATCACGTTAATTTGGCCTCGCTGCTGTGAACGGAGAAGCTTGGAGATGCGGAAATAGCTGAAACTCCAATAGCCCTAACACGACGGAAGAAGTGAAGAAGACGACGATATTCGCATGGCAAAGACCGACATTTAAAAAAAAAAAAAAAGGTCATGGGATTGAGTCTTTTTAACCTTTTTTTGGGGCAATATCTATCAATTTTTTAATAATAAACTGCATGTTTTTCTGTCTGAAACATAAAAGAATAATAAACTGCATAACATAATTATTCTTTAAAGATTTTAAAATACTACCTCCGGTTCTAATTATAAGAGCTAGTTAACTAATTTTAAAAAATTAAAAAAAACAAGCTAAGTTAGTTATTTATAATAAATAAATGTTGTTTTTTTAAATATCCTTGCTAATCAAATATATTTGTTAAAACTACCATTATTAGAAAGACTACCTTAGAAAAAATAGATAAATATAAGAGATAAAGTGGATTAAGATCTTATATTTAAAACCAAAATAAAAATCAAATAAAGTTTTATATTAAGGATAAGAGGTAGTATACTACTAACAATCTTCCAACATCCCTCCTTGAAAAATGTGTGCCCGTGAAGCCTTAACTCTTTAAACCTGTCTACACTTTTTCCCCTAAGTGCAAAAGGATGCAGCCAACTAGGATCTAAAGATATCAATGTTGAGATCATAACCCAATATAACCTTATACTCTGGAGGCAAATCCATAATGTTACTCTACTGATCTCCCATATTAGTATATGCAAAGAATGATTGATAGTTGACACACACTAGCTACCCTTTACACATGATCATATGAAACCCCTTCCATCTCGCATAATCTGGTTTCTTATTCATTTGTTTGGATTAATTTATTTTAAGTAATTTTACGCAATAAAAATAAGTATGTGATCGACGTCTTGTTTATAAAAAGCAAGAGAGCTTTTTTAGTTGATCTCTAAGAATTTCTTGAATGTTGCTTATTGCTTTCAATAGACTTAAGAGATTCATGCTACTCTTGTACCTAAAGTTTGTCGACGGGTACAATGGATTCTTTGAAATTAAAGTTGGTAAAGACCAATGGCTGGTAAAACTGAAGGCAGAATATTGACGAGATATTAATTAATATTTTGCGTTCACGAACTTCACTTATTTTTAACTTGAGAGAATCTAAATCATAGTTAACAGTAAGATGGATAAGCTGTGCCGAACAATACTTTGGTATTAATAAAAAGGAGTCAAGCATGTAAATGAAGAAAAAGATTATTTCATTCTCATAAAATGAAGGAAAAATAAAATTACATATAAACAGCATTGTTCTTTCCACAGGAATACTTGAAGAACAAACAGCAACTTTTAGTGACGGGAATGGGGGAGTCACTTGCTGTATCTATAGGGCTTAAAACCTTATCATTTCTTCACTTCACATGAATTCACTTCCATACTACACAGGAGCGACAAAAGGAGAGGACAAGGGAGCGAGATCTAAATAAAAGGGAGCAATATCTGATACATTTAAACCATATAAAGAATAAATGTGTAAGAATATAAATATGAAAATTTCCTCTATAAAATTAAGATTATTGTAGGTTACTAGCTCTTGAATAACCAACTTTAACTTTACTGACTCTTGGTATCTTTGATAGAATTAACCAAATCTTTATCTGAGAGCGGCATCGAACTCGCTTCCCTTTGCACCTTACTCATGGAATTAACAGGCTCTAGCCACTCATCACCACTGGTTTCTGCATCCCAGAGCTGTCATCTTGAGCGCCTGTTGGGTGACTGCCATAGCTTTTTCTGGCATATCAATATCTTCTCCTTATCAGACCCATCTTCGGTTTCTTGTTTATGACAAACCCATCGCATGCCCTTGGCAATGCCGGAAATAGCATCCATATAATAGTTGGATTCTCGAATTATTGCGTATCCGGTAGGGCGTAAAATTCGGTCCATCTCCAGCAACACATATTTCATTTCACACCTGTCAAGAACCAATCAACCAACATTGTAAGTGAATTTTAAGACCATATAGCTATATGCAAGAATCAAACTTCCAAGCTTCTCTGAAAGAATATTTCTAAGTAAATGAATTGACAAAGTCACCTCTGGCTTTCTTCAGTAAAGAGTCCATCAAGATGGAGCAGGTCATAAGTTCGAGGATATGTTGAAAAGGCTTCACACCTACCAAACAATAAAATTCAAATCAAAAGAAGATTATGAAAACAGGAAAGTAAAAGCCCACAACTTCAAAAAAGTTTTTTCGTTCATAAGCAACATTGCAGACTTACCAATCATGCAAGGTCCCAATAAGGCCTCGATCATAAACCACAGGAAGTGTATTGGTAGCATAAGATGAGACCACATTCATGACCCAAACAGGATCATTAATCAAAGATGCAGCAAAACCTCCATAAACCGTATTCATGTCCATCACATTCCTAATCTTGTCAGTCCCAAGGTCAGGAAGCAACTTCTTGTAGTGTTCAATACGATACTTCCACTTGTTGTCATCATGATTAAAAGCGCTAGAACTTCCACCATGAATCAGAAAAGCCCGTTCAGGTGCAAAATTCAATCGCTCAGGCCACTTGGGAATGGCTGCCAAACCTGATTTCTTGAGCTTTGGATCTGGAACTACAAGACAAGCACGAAGTGGTGTGTACCATGCTGAATCAGGCTCGAGGCTGTCATCGCATTTTGGTGGATAGGTTTCCTTAGCCAGCTTATCATAGCAACTGTTATCGGGAGATTTCTGCCATACAGCAATGTCACCCTTCTTATTGTACATCTTAAAGCACAATGAAGTCAGCAAGTCTTGCAACTTCTCATAATCTGATCTTTGCTCTTCCACAGTGGTGTTCCATCCACGCCACCTGTTCTCATAGTTGACTGGAGGCCCAGACAAGACCCAAAACCCACCAGGACGAAGTATACGATGTATTTCAAGGAGGTAAATTCCACCTGAAAGTAGATATTCCTTCTATTAAAACCATGTAGAATAGTTGAATAAACAAACAGTTAAACGCAAAACAAAAGGCGAGTGGACTAGCTACCTTTAAAAATACACTCATAGGACAAGCAGGCTTTGCATTAGTTAATTTAAAATTTGCAGAGCAAGAACCACAATTTGATAGAACCCAGTATCATTGACAACCAACAGATTAGGGGAGAGAATGCTGGATGCTGATGCAAACTAATAATACTAGGAAACCACAATTTTGTACTTACAAGGACTAAAATATGTTAATCAGTTTAATTGATAAAAGTTAACAATCGAGGGAAAATTACCAAATTCTGTCCATGGGATGAGGCATCTTGAGCAATGAGCCATATCAAAGGAGTTTGATGGGAATGGAAGTCGCTGGGTAGAAATCACACCAAGAATTGCGGGGATGCCACGCTCCAGAGCAAACTGAACTTGAGCTTCATGGTTATCCCTTGGAGCAAGAGAAACTGTTAGTATGCCTCGATCTAACAAGTCACCGCCCCAGCTAGCAACCTAGGATGAAACAGGGATATATTGTTATTGTTAATTTCTATAAATCTGCAGAAATTAACAGGTTTCATAAGATATACAATGCAGTCAAAAAATAAATAAATATAGAAAAGGCAATATGTGTAAATATATTAAAGCCTAAAAAAGAATCTCCGAGAATGATTATAAGTAATAATGCATAAAATGTTGTTACAAAAACAAAAAGTAAAACTTACCCCACAACCAGTATCAAGAGCAGTTCGAATAGTCCCATCTTTCATTTCTGGAATCAGATCTTGCATTAAGTCAACATATTTACTCACACCATTGGGAAACATAGTACCACCACCAGGAAAGAGAAATTTCTCCCCTTCCTTTATTAACCAATGCTGATTCGACTTCTGCTTGTTAATCCAATCATATGGCACATTCCTGAAATTAGGGGTAACATAAAACTTGAAGATATGGCCAGCTTGGATTTAATCGCAGCCAACTACAGATAATCCATCCTTAGAATGCTAGAGCTCATGGAAGCATATTGTACCTGTACCAACATTCATCCCTGCTCTTTGGCCATCTAATTGGAGGTTTATACCCATTTGGGGGAGGAATTAAGCACTCTTTCCTCTCAAAAATTGGAGGGCAATGGCGTTCCAACAAAGTAAGCCGATAGTAACCATATTTCTTCCACCTCTGTAAAATTGTGTTTAATTTAATCAATAATGCACCTTTTTTCTATGAATTCTACGGAAACCGAAAAAGGAAACTCATAATACCCTTGGATCTGTGCATGGAGTGAAGTCTTGATATTCAATGCTGCATTCAGGGAAGCTATTGGATTTGACTTTCAGAGGAGCTACTGCTGATTCTTTGGAAGATTCAGCGGTCTTCTGAGTATTAATGGCGACAAATTTTCCCTTCTCAGAACAGAAGATCCCACCTAAATAAAAAGAAAGTCCACATAGCACAACAAACATGATCGCCATAGAGATAGCCCTTGAATTCTTGTCCGGATGGGTGATCGGTTTTCCATCTTTGTGCTTCATGATCCAAGAATTAATCGACTATCTGCAGAACAGTGAAATATACTCAGCCTTGCTGCAATGCAACAGCGTCACATTCCCCCACTCATAAATTTATGGCAAAATTACCATAGATAGAATGACCAACATGCCTTTTACAAGTCAAACTCACATCTCATTCACCATTGTCAGCAATGATCATTATCAACCGTATACAATCACTTATAAAGGAGCATTAGAATTTTATAATAGCCATTCAAATCCCACCAGTCAAAAGAATTCAAGTTTCTACTAATGAAGTCGTTTGAAAACTCAGTACATGAATATAATTGCATCTGTCGTGATATTATAACATTTCGTTCCAAAAATTTCTAGCAATCAAGCGGGCATTACAATTGATAAATTAAGGGCTCTTACAAATTAAGAAATCAACTTTATCTGAATCACCATACCACCCTAGCTCTGCCAACTAACTAGAGGGGCCTAGGCAATTTTAGATCGCCTCATTGAGAAATAAGGAGCAACTAATCAGTATCCAGAAACAGCAGGATGTTGATCGCTGAGAAACTTAAGATACTGAGAACAATATGACAGGACAGCAACTTCCAGGAAACTTCACGTTTCCGGAAAAAAGATGAGATTTTTTTTTTTTCAAAAACAATGCTAAACTCCAGCTGTCGTGAGTTACTCAACATAATGACGAGGCTAAGCTGCAAATGAAAAATCGCGCTACCGACACTTCCTGCTTTCCATGTCACTTTGCCTTTATAAATTTCACATGGCATAGGGCCCTTGGAAAAGGCGAAAAGAAACAATAGATCTTGCAACATGCCATTGATGGAAGGAGCGGGGAGTAATGAGCAGGTGAAAGACCGAAAGTGCATAAAGTAATATTATCATTTCTTGACAGACACGAAAAGATTCCATAATTCATTTGTCAGTGCTTGCCGATCAACTGCTTCTCGTACGAATCATCAATGGCAGCATGACACTCAACAGAGCAAGACCGGAGAACCCACAAGCAAGGAATTAAAAAGGTAGAAAATGAGAAATAGAAGCACAGCTTTGTTATTTAAGTTTTGCTGATTCAGAATATTAAAAAACAAAAAAAAAAGCGCGTTTCATCCAAAAAGAAAAGAAAAACTATAATAATCCCGAGAGAGGAAAGATTTTAGAATAAATCAGTATAAGCACTCGAAGCACGCATACCAGGAAAGGAATTCAGAGAATATAAAAATAGGGAACTGAACAAAAACAACATAAAACCCACGAGCGCAAATCAGATCTGTGACTCCAAAGAACAGAATGAGTTTGAATCAGAGACAAGGACGTTCAATCCAGAGAGATCTGACAGAAGAAGGACACCGATGAAGAAGCAAGCAGTGATAAAAAAAAGACGAATATGCGCAACGAAATAAGTAGAGGGAGAGATGAGAATCACCACTCACAATACAAGGAAAGACAATTCACCAAGTTTTGGCTGCGAGAATTAAGGCGTGGAGTTTAAAAGAGCCAAATCTCAGGAATAAATAAAAGGAAGTAACAATAACAATAATGAAAGAAAGACAAGAAGGAATGGGAAGAACGTACCGGTTTGGTGTTGTGGGTATGCGTTGAAAGAATGTGAAAAGGGTAAAGAGGGCGAGACCGAAACGCTTCTCTCAGAGGTTGGGACTCGAGAGAAGAGGGAAAAGGCCTAGAATGAAGGCAACATGCATTAACGAGTCAGAAATCGCTGCTAAACGAGCTGAACTGAACGCTTATATAACTGTTCGTCAGCCATGTGTGCGCCTCGCTGTCCCCCCCCCTATGGTCGACTTCCATGCTGCTTCTTCTTCCGTCAAATGGAAATCAAATATATAATACAAGAAAGAATTCCGAGTGGGCAAAAAAAAAAATCAATAGAAAATTACTTAATTGTCGAAATTAGAAGGGATTGATGGATTTAATTAATTGATCGCCCTCTTGTTTTTCTCTCTCCTTATAGGGTTTTTTTTTTTTTTAACCCCGTGAAATTCCGATTTGGGAATTTGGCTTTACATGTCAAATTGTCAATGAATCTGCAATGATTATTGGTAGTATTTCTATGTATTGCCATACCACCGGCTACGACTTGACTTTACGTGCTGAGGCGCTGAAAACGAAAACCACTTTGACAATATTGTCCCATTTCAACCCCCGTAATTTTGGTTAATCTCCCTAATGGGTTTCTGCCACGTGGCCTTACATTTTATATTGTCAATGAAGTTTAAGCCACCGGGATATACATCCCATGGGAGGAGCAAGGTTAGGTGGAGAGAGTTATTTTAGGATTCAAATCCTCGTGATATATTGTTGACCCAAAAAAAATCTTCATAACGCATTAAAAACTAATTAGTTTATATATTATTTCTTAGTTCTTACTGTGTTTTTATTATTGTTTTCTATTATATACTGTTTCTAAAATAAAAATATAAATTTTATTTAGTTTCTGTATTGAGTAGTTCCTCGTGCAAAATGGATCTAAATATGTAAGGAAATAATTTTCTATTGATTGACAATTTGGCATCACATGTATATCTCTTTATAAAAATTACTCGTTGTTTCCCTTTTTATGATCATATGTTTAATGATTTAAAAAAAATTATGGACATAACTGATTGGGTTTAAATTTGATCGTGTATATTTACAAAGATTCTCTGAAAAAATGGTAATTATTTAAATAATTTTCCTTAACATTCTTTGGGTAAGGTTTTCTCTCTTTTTAAATCTCTATAGACTGTAACCAACAAATTTGTGTTTGTTGAGTTTAAAAGAGGTATAACGTTTTTTCAAAAGTAATGCAGGATATAGTTTTTTTATTGGATTATAGATTTTATTTATATGAAATATATATTAACATATTTAAGCTATACTGATTTGACTTCTTCTTTTTTTATTTGAGACAAAATGATTTAACTTCAAGGATCAGAAACTGAAAATTATAGAAACTTTGGAGAAACGCGTTTTAAAAATTATTGACTCTTTTCAACTTTTTGATCTTCACGGATTAAGGGAAAAAAATCTTAAGATTCAATTGTCATTCCTTTTAAATCGAGATTTTCCTGATGAGAATGGTTGACAGTGTTTGAAAATAGAGATCATTATCTTCATTTTTTATTATTAATTTTTTAAATTTTTCATTAAAATAATCCCTCCAACAAAGCTGGCAAACATTTTTCCGAGAACTCGTGTCAATTTACGGATTTTCATATCAAAATTGAAACTAAATCCAAATTATGTGAGTTGCATATTAATTTGGATATCAGATGCATGTCAATCCATCGTCATGTTTCAATTTTTAACACGAATAGAGAGAATACTTATTTTCATTTTTAATATTTTCATTATATTATAAAATTAGATATGTATTTAAAAATGATAAAAAAATTATTAATTATCATACAGTTTAGGTAAAGGTAGTATGATTTATATCTTTTTTCGTAACAAATCAGGATTAATTATAAGGGCATTTCAACATTTCCAGCTGGAAGCCCTTGGTTATGAGCATTCTTTTACTTTAGAAAAGAGGCTTTAACTTTAAAGTAATGATATTTACTTGTCTGCGAATAAAAGCATATATGCAATTATACGCACATATGTGTGTGTATTAGCAAGATACCCTGTCGACTTTGTGAAATTTACTTGATAAATAAAAATTATATCTATTTTTTTGTATATTTAATTTATTTATAATTAATTTTATTTGATTTTTTTATTTAAGAGGATATTTCAAGTCGTGTTTGTGAGGCGCGTGGAACTGGGGCTTCTTAAGAATTTCTGAATTCTCACGTTTTATGAAGTTCAGTGCCATTAAAATCTCAAGTCATAAATCAATCAATAATTCATATAGACAAAAAAATAATTTAATTGAAAGTGTAATTAAGGAAAAAAAATCTTCGGTGTTAAAAATTAATTCGATGCGAATGCAACATCTTCGCATAATAAATATTGTTAATAATATTTTCCCACGAATCACGTCTCTGATAGTTGAAATATTTTTGGCCGAAAAATATTAGTTAATTAAGATATTAAATATTTTTACTGGAGAAAAGTTTTATATGTATATATAATTTATTCTATAAATATCTGAATTGCATGCATGTGTGCTGGACAAAAAGAAAATGTGTGCATGTGTTGTGTGTCTATGGAGCCATATGGGGCCTCTTATTGTATGTTGAGTCATGTACAAGTAATTAGTGTGGGATCCATGCATGTGTATTGAACCCGAAACAAGCCGAACTACCATTGATATTATTATTGAAATTAATTAATTTTGATATGAAATATAGAAATTATATAGATAATAAATAATTTGACTGATTTGTCGAATTTCGTGCAATGATTTGGATGAAGGCAGAGTTAAGTGTCCAAATAGGCTAATGATGATTAAATTCTGAGAAGTAGAACCCAAGAAACATATGATTTAGCTCGAGTGAATAGAATATTTGGTCATTTACGAATTTTAGTTTTTAATTATTCAAGTTTCAAATTATGTGATAAAATGATTTAAAATTTTATTAAATTATAAGAATTAATATTTTAAACAAAAATGAACTTGAGAAATCAAAATTTATAATTTAAGAATCGAGGGACAAAAACTGAAACAAAAACAAAACTGATGAACTAAAAATTGTATTAACCTTTCAGTTTTTTATTAATTTATAATTTATGCGAATAAGTTATAATAAAATGGAATCATTAAAATCCAAATATGTAAACCACCGCATTTTGTTAAAGTTATCTTAATTATCATAAGTATGACTTGTAAACACGGTTTCATGATAGTAACCGCAGTGATCCACTTGTGAGCATACAGAACGAGGAAAAAACATATACATTTTTGCAAAATTCGTGACTGTCTTTTACAAACATATTGGTATCATCAATTAATTCGTTTCTTTTAGCATCATAAATATATAATATTCGAAGAGTAAATAAATATAAATAAAGGAATTCTGCCCGCCGGACGCGGTATTATATATAAATTCGTTTGAATGCTTGTC